CCTCCTTACCTGCAGTAACCCCTCCTTACCTGCAGTAACACCTCGTTACCTGCAGTAATCCCTCCTTACCTGCAGTAATCCCTCCTTACCTGCAGTAATCCCTCCTTACCTGCAGTAACACCTCCTTACCTGCAGTAACCCCTCCTTACCACTTATCTACCTCCTTATCACTTGTGCCGGCATGTCGGTGTCTCCTCAGTAAAGTTCTGGTCCATGTTGGAGGAGGCGGAGCAAACCCAGGGACTGGGAGTCACCAGAACTCTTCACTCTTCCTGCCTCTGATTTCACTTGGTCTATCTGTCTCTCTTCAGTCTGTAATTAGTTATTGTCATCAGCCCTGAAACTATCGACTCGGAGAGAGCTCCAATCACACTCGGTCATACATCCGTCTTCTTTATCAGCCGCTGACAGACCGTGCCGCTCTGCCTCCGTACAATTTGTCTGATTCGCTCAGAGTGTCAGTTTGATTGACAACTGACCAAACAGACCAGAACGTCAGACTGTGATAGGATCACCGAGTCGATCGCTGAGCCCAGCGCTGAGAGCCGCTGATAGCAGGAGGGCTTTAATTTTCCTCTTCTTGCTATCAATACCGCGGCCTCTTCAGCTGTAGGAGCACCAACAAACACACAAACACAGCTTTTTATTCTTGCTTCTGGGAGTTTTGGTTTTGTGCAGCTTTGTGGGCTGCAGTGGGAATGTGGAGGAGAGCATGCTGAATGAACAGGACACATGCAGCAGATCTCAACTTCACCCAGTACTCTTAATGGCTAATAGGAGTTCAATCACACTACAGTACTGTGCAAAAGTCTTAAGTCACCATTCATTCTTTAGATTTTGCAGGAATCCTGGAGGTTCATTATAACATATGCAAACATACATGGAATAATAATAGGCAAGAATATTTGGTGTGAGCAGCTTCATCCTTCAGCTCAGTGTGAACTCTGAGGCTTCAGAGGCTTAACGGACAGAAACAAATGGTCAGGCACCAGGACTGCACCGAAAGACGAACTTTGAAATACCGTCAGAAAGCTGAAGAACTGTTGCTCAACAACATTTTGCTTTCTAGAAGCAAAATATGAGCAAGCAAGCTACCTGCTGCATCAGACAGTCAGATGCATTAAAACCAACAGAGTGCAGATGTACCGGCATCCTCCGTCATCACACGTCGTCATTCGTCAGTTGGGTTATGGACAGTCCAGATCTGTGCACATCACTCATAGGGTTCAGATGTGAAACACATTAGGAAGA